GCCCAGCCCAGAAGATATTCTTATGTCTGATTCTATGACCAATGAAAATTGCTATATAATTGAGAGGGTAAAATGCTTTTCTTTTTTTTTGTTTTGTTTTGTTTTGTTTTTGATTTTCATGTCTAACAGTAAAGAAGTCTATATTTATCAAGAGAAGAAAATTACATTTCCCTTTACTTTTCCATTAAAATTTCAAATTTTTAAAATTATTATTGTTACACATACAGTCTGGGTTCTTAAAGCTTTCATTAAAGTTTAAAAAGTTTAGATAAGATTTTATAGAGCAATGGCTTTGGAGTCAGGAGGCATCTGGGATATAGTTTTGTGCTGTTAGCAGTCACTTCACTTTTTTGGTCTAAGTTTTCTCATTTGTAAGTTGTAATGGAGTTTTACCTAAATGACCCATAGATCCCTTGTAGTGCCAGCCTTCTGTGAGTTTTGGGGTAGTTTTAAAATAATATAAGTATCACAGGAATTGTATAATGTAAGTTAACTTCCTTGTTAACTTATGAAGGGCAAACAGATAAGAATCTAAGAACAAAATCTTCCATTGCATTTAAAATAAGAGTCTAATCTTTACAATTTAAGATGGCTAACAAATAGAACACAAGAGACTGGTGTGTTCTTCCTATTTATTATCTCCTTCAACAAGAATCAAAACTAAAATGGGTGCTTTGGGAGGCCAAGGTGGGAGAAATGCTTGAGGCCAGGAGTTTGAGACCAGTCTGGGCAGCAGAGAAGACCCCATCTCTACCAAGAAAATACAAAAATTAGCCAGGCATGGTGGCATACACCTGTAGTCCCAGCTACTCAGGAGGCTGATATGGGACGATCATTTGAGCCCATGAGACTGAGGCTGCAGTAAGCCAAGGTCATATCACTGCATGCCAACCTGGGTGATAGAGTGAGACCTTGTTGAAAGAGAAAGAGGGAGGGAGGGAAGGAAGGAAGGAAGGAAGGAAGGGAGGGAGGGAGGGAGGGAGGGAGGAAGGAGAGAAAAGGGTATGTAAGGAAGGAGAAGGGATCGGAAGGAAGGAAGGAGGGAGGAAGGGAAGGAAGGAGGGAGGGAGAAAGGGAAGGAAGGAAGGAAAGGAAGGAAGGAAGGAAGGAAGGACAAACAAATGGGAAGACATTCAGTTAATAAATGAAGTCTTTTCAATGCTACCTGCTGTCAGCCTTTGAAAAGAGTAATTTGCCATCATGGAATCTCAAGAATGAAAACGCTGAATTAATCGACAGTATTCGGCAGCAGTCACTTCTCCAGTAAATAAAAGAATGAAACTTTTGCACTGCTTTTTTCTGGTTTATTATAGTGACCTTTTACCCACAGAATTTTCTGACTCAACAGAAACCCCCCTTGGGATTTTACTGTAGTGTAAATAGTAATATTTAGTATGTATAATCATGGTAACTTTACCATAATCATGTTGATTAATAGCAATTTAAAAGCCCATTTCTCAATATGTTAGTTTCATATCTTTTAAAAATTGTGAATCTCTTAAAATATTTTTTGGTTTTTATTTCATGGTACTATAGTTGTTCTGACTCATGAATTTGAGGATGCCGCTGCCCCATAGGGCCTAGGTTATATATTTTTAAATGTTAGTATGTATATAGATGTTTTCTTTCCCAAAGGCTTGACATCCTTTAGCCTCTTAACAACCTTGAAAGGAAAGGTTAGCATTATCCCTCTTTTAAAGCCGTTTTTACAGCTAAGGCCATCTCCAGGTACATTTTCCTGTATTAGAATTATGAAATGAAAGGATGAAACATATATTAATTACCTGGTTCTACCATAAATGAGAGTGATTTGACCAAAGTTTGGAAAGAACTTTCTTGCAGGGAATACTGTTTTTCTTCTCTTTTTCTTTACAGTAAAAAACCCTGTCTTGTACATAGTGTGTGCAATATAAAATATATAAATTATATATATATAAATTTTTAGAGGCCAGGCACGGTGGCTCACGCCTGTAATCTCAGCGCTTTGAGAGGCCGAGGCAGGTGGATCACCTGAGGTCAGGAGTTTGAGACCAGTCTGGCCAAAATGGCGAAACCCTGTCTCTACTAAAAATACAAAAAAATTAGCTGTGCATGATGGTGCTCGCCTGTAATCCCAGCTACTCAGGAGGCTGAGGCAGGAGAATTGCTTGAACCAGGGAGGCAGAGGTTGCAGTGAGTGGAGATTGTGCCACTGTAATCCAGCCTGAGCAACAGAGTGAGACTCCATCTCAAAAAAAATTTTTTTTAGTGAGTCAACCAGAACACTTAGCTCATTTCTTTAATTTTATTCTAAAAATTCACATTTCTTTCTAGTAATAGGTAAGTCAGGCCATGTGACACATTTGCGTCCTTTTCCAGATGTCCAAGTATAAAGGTAGAGGAATAGTGGTTAGGGAACTCAGAAAATGGGACATCCCAGAGGTCACAGTGAGACGAGATCGTGCCACTACGCTCCAGCCTGGGTGACAGCGAGACTCCGTCCCAAAAGAAAAAAGAAAAAAGACAATGGGGCCTCCTAGACCTTACATTTTCCCCTTATTGCCTTAGACAGAATCTAAAATAATAACCGTTTATTTTACCAGCGGGATATGGGGACACAGAGATGTTAAATAGTTGCCCAAGGTCAATACAGTTGAGAGATGGAGCTGGACTCAAACACGCTTTCAGAACCCACATGTGTAGTCACTGCATTGTGTGGCCTCTCAGTGGCTCAGGCGTTTAGCCACAGTTTAATTTACACAGGCATCATCAACTGAAAGGCATATGCTGTTCCTGTGGTCCCTAATATTCAAGTTTGGGTCTGAAAAAGAAATGATTTTGGCTTTTCCCTCCACGATCCTCAAAATCTACACCACGCCACTAAATGTACTATCAACCTCTGCTTTTAGTGTGATTCTCCTTTTTTAATTTATTTTTCATGTTCATATGTTCAGTGAACATTTGCGTCTCTGCTATATGCTAGTCATTGTTCTAAGCAATGGGACTGTAAAGATGGCCACATTTATTGAATATCCAATCTTGTTCCAAAAATAACTTGAGACTAGTCTTCAAAAAAAGTTTTTTTTGAAGGGGAACCAAGATCGCTAAGACACTGTCCCCTCCCTCCTAGAAACCACGACCTGATGGAGATACTTTATAAAAAATTACCATATGAGAAATGCCTGCTAACAGAGATATTTCACAAAGAACTTTACTTTTGAGCAGAGTGTAGCAGGTGGTAAGTTGGGGAATGACAGGGGGAATGTTGTGTGAAGTTAGCAGCAGGGTGTGGTTTGGTGTGGCTGAAGAAAGGGGCACATTTTCTTGGAGGATAGGGTAGAAGTCAGAGAAGATAACGTTGAAAAATGTAGACAAAGGCCTCTTTCTTGTGGTTGTCTGTTTAACAAAATTATTTCTAATACTGTTTATTGTTTTAAAAGAAAAGCAGAGAAATGAATCTAGAAGGAAAGAATCTAGACAAACTTCCAGTGGCTTCAACAGTTACAAAAATACCCTGTCCGTTAATAACCGAGGAAAGACCCGGCTTGCCAGAAATCAGACAAGGAGGCCAGTTCGCTGTGGAGTTTCGCAAGACGCAGGATCTTCTCTTCAAAAAACCTGCAAGGCAGACCATCATGACTACGGAGACACTGAAGAAAATTCAGATTGATAGGTAAGGAGGGAAGACGTTTGGCAGTGGACTTACGTATTTATACATAGATGAGAGAATGGGTGCCCGGGTGGCTGACTGCTCTCTTCTACGGGTTAGTCATTACTGTGTAAGCAAAATGACTGCTGAGAATAAAATTAGCTCAAGACTGCCTAGAGGCAGGGTGATATGAATAGAAAGCAAGGCGGCTATATGATATTGCATAAGTTATTAAGTCTTTTCTTTTTTGTTTCTTTTTTTTTTGAGACGGAGTTTTGCTCTTGTCGCCCAGCTGGAGTGCAGTGGCGTGATCTCGGCTCAGTGCAGCCTCCACCTCCTGGGTTCAAGCAATTCTCCTGCCTCAGCCTCCTGAAGAGCTGGGATTACAGGTGCATGCCACCACGCCCGGCTAATTTTTGTATTATTTAGCAAAACCCCAGGTTTCACCATGTTGCCCAGGCTACTCTTGAACTCCTGACCTCAGATGATCCACCTGCTTCTGCCTCCCAAAGTGCTGGGATTACAGGCGTGAGCCACTGTGCCCGGCCGTTTGTCTTTGTTTCCAATTTTTATTTTATTTATTTTTAAAATTTTTTTCTTTTTTCTTTTTTTTTTTTTGCTTCAGACGTATACCTGCAGACTGTTTATTTTTTAGAGACAAGGTCACTCTGTAGCCCAGGCTGGAAGCCAGTGGCTACTGACAGAGATATCATAGAGCGTGCTGCCCTCAAGCGTCTGGCTTCCAGTGATCCTCTCCCAGGGCTGGGACGACAGGCGCGCTGGCTATTTTCAATTACTAAAAAATGCAGGCACGCTGGCTGTTTTCAATTACTAAAAATGAGAATGGGCCGGGTGCCAGGGCTCACACCTGTAATCCCAGCACTTTGGGAGGCCGAGGCGGGCAGATCACGAGGTCAGGAGTTCGAGACCAACCTGGCCAACAAGGTGAAACCCAGTCTCTACTAAAAATACAAAAATTAGCCAGTTGTGGTGGTGCATGCCTGTAATCCCAGCTACTCAGGAGGCTGAGGTAGGAGAAGTGCTTGAACCTGGGAGGCGGAGGTTACAGTGAGCTGAGATGGCACCACTACACTCCAGCCAGGGCAACAGAGCAAGACTCCGTCTCGAAAAAAAAAAGTGACAATGATAGCAACCTTGCAACATTAGTGTAAAGGTTAGAAATAAGGCTTTAGCCTAGTGCCTGGCACAAATTGGTAGCTATTGTGATGCTTTATCCATTAATAGCTACTTTATAGCTATTTCTTATTATTCTATATAGCCAAATTCCAAACTGTGTTTTAATCCTGAGGGTTTCTTAAAGGCAGTCTAAATTCCCATTGTCTCATAATTTTTTATCGTCAGCTGTCTCAGTGACAAAGAAGCCTGTTAACAGGGTGTAACATTATGTTGAGAACTTTTGGTAAATGAGAGTTTACTGCAGTTACCCAGGGCCACTAGCTGTATCCAGTCTGAAGTCTGTTTTTGAAAAGTTTTACTGGAATATGGCATTGCCCATTTGTTTATACGTTGTCTGTGACTGCTTTCATGCCACAGTGCAGAGCTGAGTCACTGCCAAAGAGAACTTATGCCCTGCAAAGCCAGATGTTTACTATTTGTCCCTTTACAGAAAAAGTTTGCTGACTTCGGTATTAGACCCTAACCAAGGGTAAGATCTCGCTAAAGTCAATCTGGCCCAGATCTGCATCAGACAGAAAGGCATCCTGCTTATAAATTGCCCGGTTCATGTGCTTTGCATTCTCAGTGTGTGGCTCGTATCTTTTCCTGAAAAACCCAAAATACCAGTCGCAATTATTTGTAAGGGATTAGTTTTAGATTTATATTCCATATGAAACCCAGGGTATACTCACAAAATGTACATCTCCACCAGTTATCCAGAATCAAAGTGGAAATCAAAATATCAAAGACATAAAAACTACAACAGGCCAGGCGTGGCGGCTCACGCCTGTGAGTTTGGGAGGCCAAGGTGGGAGTAAGGAAGGAGACCACTACTACTCCTGCTGCCCTCCTCCCCCGACCATGCCTAGTTCACGAGACAGGAGGAGAGAAAACGCTAGAAAAAAACAAAACGCTAGAAAGAAACAAAAGATTAAAAAAAGCAAAACGCTAGAAAGAAACAAAAGATTAAAAAAAGCAAAACGCTAGAAAGAAACAAAAGATAAAAAGCCAGACAACCTTGGCACCACCACCCGACCCTAGGAGTTAAAAAAAGTAATAATAATAACATCAACCCCTGGCCTAAACTACTTGTGTTATCTGTAAATTCCAGACACTGTATGAAAAAAAGAATAGTAAAACTTCTTGTTAGCTGATGCATGTAGCCCCCAGTCACGTTTCCCACGCTTGCTTGATTTATCACGACCCTTTCACGTGGACCCCTTAAAGTTGTAAGCCTTTAAAAAGGCCGAGAATTTCTTTTTCGGGCAGTTCGGCTCTTAAGACACGAGTCTGCTGATGCTCCCAACCGAATAAAAAACCTCTTCCTTCTTTAATCCGGTGTCTGAGGAGTTTTGTCTGTGGCTTGTCCCGCTACAGGAGAATTGCGTGAGTCCAGGAGTTGGAAACCAGCCTGGGTAACATATGAAATCTCATCTCTACTAAAAATCAAAAAAATTAGCTGGCGTGGTGGTGCGCACCTGTGGTCCCAGCTACTCTGGAGGCTGAGGTGGGAGGATCACGCGAGCCTGGGAAATTGAGGCTGCAGTGAGCTGTGATTGTGCCACTGCACTCCAGCAGGGGTGACAGTGAGGCCCTATCTCAAAAAAAAAAAAAAACTCAAAAAAAAAAAACTGAAAAAGCAAAACAACAACAACAAAAAAACTACAACACTTTATGAATTTAAAATGGGAATTTGTAGGAAGTTTGTGTATGCTTTCCTTGCTCTACTCATCTTTATGTATTATTGTCTTATTGCATTGAATTAATAATTACTGTATTGTAACATACTACTGTCAAAAGACAAAATTGCAACAAATCTAAATATCCTAATTGGCTTTTATTTGCAGTTCTAAATCAGGCAACACCTCATTCTATGAAGTAGAAGTACTGTTCTGATGACCTGGGCAGAGGAGGTTGGCTTTACAGGCAGAAAAGGGCTGAAGAAAGCAGAAACAGAGAACATAACGTGAATGGTCTTGTCGAAGTTACTTTCCTGGCTGCAGGTGGTGGCTCACACCTGTGATCCCAGCACTTTGCGAGGCTGAAGTGGGAGGAGCGCTTGAAGCTAGGCGTTCAAGACCAGTCTGGGCAACATAGCGATACCTCATCTCCACAAAAATGAAAAAAATTAGCTGGGCACGGTGGCGTGCTTTAGTCCTAGCTACTTAGGAGGCTGAGGCAGGGGAGGACCACTCAAGC